GTGTAAACCTTAGCACAATCCTCCCTCATTTGAGATTTGAATAGGAAATAACCAAGCGCTAAATCAATGGCTTCAAAGTCACCTTGGAGATCCCATATTTTCCATACTTTTGTGATGAGCGATTTATACCCCACATTTTTCCCCAGCAGCTTGAGGATCAAACATTCTTTCCAGAGTCTCCTTATCTTACTCAAGAGATTTCTAGGAAGTTTAATGCGAGGAATCCCATGATCCGACTCCTCTGCCATAACCTCTTCATCATCTGAAAAGTCCGAAACCCTACCGGCTTCATCATCATCGGTAGAGAGTCTATCTAAATCATCATCGAATGGCCTATCATTGAAACGCCTATTCGTGAGGGCTTCTTTGAAGGATTTGGAACCAAGATTTCTCGTACCCAACACATCAATGGAGGGATCCCCTTTATTCCCCAGTAGAGCAATTTTCTCCTGCCCTCTTGAAGAATCATCCACCATACCCACATCCTCCTCGAGCTCTTGAAGAGCCTTGAGTTTCTTCGTACTACGGGAGAGGTGATCTTGTTCCACAGGGGACTTTTCGCTCAGAAAGCCGTTGTAGGTATTGAGAGCGTTATCAGACATTGTAGAGAAAAAATTAACCAACAACTAGAAAAACCTGGTTGGCTATCTATTGGTTATCCTAAAAAGCAAGGCTTTAAAAATAAATAAATAAATAAATAAAATAAAACAGAAAAGTGAATGGTTGTAGGAACTTTATAATTGAAGTGGATAATTGTTTCTTCATTAATCGGTTGACCAATTTTGTCATCTCATATGGAGACTTTTGGGGTGTTTGATAATTTAATTCAGCATTTAAAATTGAATTGATTAAAGTGATAATTAATTAAGCTCGTTTGATAACCACAATTGATACCCTTTAAAATTTAAATGACTCTTAAAATATAAAGCCAAAACTTAAGAAAATTTTAAGTTAGGTAAAATTTACTTAATTCTGATTAAATTTATAAATATCAAACATAAATATCGATATACATTATTATAAATTCACCGCCGCCACTACCACCATGCAACCGCCACCACCATTCCTTCCACTACCACCACCACTATCATGTCACCACCACTACTACCACTACCGCCACCAATATGACACCACCACCACTACCACTACCACCACCACCACTGTCACTATCATCAGGTCGTCCTCCCACCACCACCACCACCACCACCACTAACATTATCTTCATCACGATTATCATTATTTTCATAAACATCACCATCATTTTACTAATATTATCATCGCTACCACCACCACCACCACACGAAATGGAAGTAGGAGAAGACATGGCCCCCCTGTTTCTGTGAAAAATACTATTTGTCATAGCACTTTAAATATATATATATATATATATATATATCATTTTATGCATATATATATATATATCATTTTATGTATATATATATATATATATATCTTATTATTCTTCCATCTTGTCATTTTTTTCTATTTTGTACTAAAAAAACTTTTTCATTCTATTAAAGATTGCTTCTATGGTATTAAATTTTTGGGCGAATTATACTAACAGTCCTTGTAATTTAGGACTTGTGTCACTTTGGTCCTTGATTTTTCATTTGTAATACATTTGACCCTGAATTTTGAATCTTGTTCCAAATAAGGCAATTGAAGATACCATTGATTAATTTCAAGGGCAAAATAGTCAATTTGATAAAATATGAACTAATTTGATAAAAATAAATGTCAAAAAGTTATATTTGAATTTAAAAAAATTATTTATACTCACCAAAGATAAAATTATGTAAAATTGATAAATCTTTTACACATTTTTTTTTTTACCAAATTAATTTTTATTATGTGTTTGGATGATGACCATGAAATGGGTGCTTATTTTTATTTTCATTAAATTAGTTTTTATTTTTTCAAAACTTAAATATGACAACAACTTTTATATCATTATTAAATCAATCCATTAAATCAAAAAATCCAAAACTAAAAATATTTTATATATTAAATACTGTATGTCAATTACACATTAAAGTCCTAACAACCACCCATTACATGATCATCATCCAAACACATAATAAAAATTAATTTGGTAAAAAAAAATAAATGTGTAAAAGATTTATCAATTTTACGTAATTTTATCTTCGGTGAGTAGAAATAATTTTTAAAATTCAAAAATATTTTTTTGACATTTATTTTTGTAAAATTCGTTTATATTTTATTAAATTGACAATTTTGTCTTTGAAATTGAGTAATGATATCTTCAATTGTCTTTATTTGGAGCAATATTCCAAATTTAGGGTTAAATGTGTTACAATTGAAAAGTTATGAATTAAAGTAACACAAGCCCCAAACTATAGGGACTGTTAGTATAATTTGTCCTAAATTTTTTTTTATGTATATATAATTTATATATCATATTGTAGATATATGTGTGTTTGTGTATATGGTGATTTTTTTTGTTCGGCCCCTCTAGTTTCGTCCCTGACCACGCCACCGCCACCGCCACCATTATGCCATTCCACTACCACCAGCACCACAACTATCATCACAATACAAAAATTAACATATACAATTTAAAAATAATAAATTTTAAATCTTATTTTAGACATATCAAATAACTTATTTTTAATTCAGTACTTAAATTTTTATCAAATAACTTTTCAATTTAAAAAATTTAACATTCAATTTTTAATACTTAATTTTTAATTTTTAACTTTATCAAACACACCTTTATTATGAGATAAATCTCTTATTTATGGTCCACTGTTGATTAGTTGTCACATTCGCAAATTTCTACATAAGTAATGGTACATTCCATCAATTTTGGGCCACCACAATCAATCAATAATGACATAATAACATCCGTTGAATAGTTTTTATGTTATATAAGATTCTTAAGTGATGTGACTTATGGTTAGGGCTGCTCGCGGGTCGGTTTTGGCCGGGTACAGGTTAAAATCGACCTGACCTGCACTTATGCAGTTGGGGAAAAATAGACCCGCAACCGCCCGCGATGCGGTTCGCGGTTTGTGCGGGCGGGTGCGGTTCGGTTTTCGGTTTAGTTTTTTTTATTATTATTATTATTATTTAACTTAAGCAAATTTGACATTTTTTGTTACTTTCTAAACACTTTTTTTTTTTTATAGAAGAGTTATAAATTAAATTACAAGATATAAAATTCATGATCATAATAAATAGTCCACATGTTAGATAAGATGATATGGAACCATGCTTGAGGATAGTAATTAATCTTCCTCCTTAGCTTGCAAAAACACTTAAGCAAATTTAACATTTTTTGTTACTTTCTAAACACTTTTTTTTTTATAGAAGAGTTATAAATTAAATTACAAGATATAAAATTCATGATCATAATAAATAGTCCACATGTTAGATAAGATGATATGGAACCATGCTTGAGGATAGTAATTAATCTTCCTCCTTAGCTTGCAAAAACATACCCTTAAAAGTCAAACTAGTAATACTAATTTAAATATGCAAAAACAAACCCTTAAAAGTCAAACTAGTAACACTAATTTTAATAGTGGATTAATCTTCACTATTTAGTTTTTAATATGCAACAATGTGATAATAGAATGACAATTCAAAATATCATATTTAACTGTGTCTACTAGACTAATGGAATATAATGATTTTTTTATTTATATATATAAATAAAAGTCAAACTAGTAACACTAATTTAAATATCATTAGATCATGATAATGTATATAAGTGCCCATATAATAAATTTTACTTTCATCCAAAATGTAAAAATAAAAATAATAACTAGTTATCTCCCTCCATCCAAAATGCAAAAAATAATAATAATAACTAGTTATTTTTTCTTTAAAAAAAAAAGAAAAGAAAAAGAAAAAGATGCGGGTTGCGGGCGGGTCGGGTTCGACCCGAACCCGATCTTTTGCCAATTTCTTGACCCGCACCCGCCCGCCTACCTACATCGAAACCGCCCAAAGCACTGCGGGTAGGGTAGGGTCGGGCGGTTTGTGCGGACGGGTGGTTTTGTTGCCCAGCCCTACTTATGGTTGATTTGGGAATTCAAAATTGAGGCATAAATCATCTTCATTTCTACACAAATATATAAAGAAATAGTCTATAAAATTAGAAAATTACTACAAAATACAAATTTCACATTAATAGGATACATTTAAAGTTGTATTGTGGAGCCTATCTTACGTGAGTCTTGCCTATTTATTCTAAAGAAAAATACTTAAAACTTATGAAATGAGTGACTTTCATAACTCTTAATTGATTAGTGATCACTGATTATATATATATTTTTTTTCCCTCTTTCTCACAGGTGTGTGAAACCGTGGGGGTTGTAGGGCCTGTAAGACTTCTGATATTTTAAATTATGAATTCTCTTCTTCTTCTTTTTTTTGAAACTGTGGCTCCTTTTGGCAAGAGCTAAACAGGACTTTTTTGGCTATTTTAGCCACAAAAGACAAAATAGGCTATTTTAGCCACAAAAACAAAATATCACATCCAACCCATAATCATTACATTCTTCACTCATAAAAAAAACTAAAAAAGTCAAAAAGTCCTTCCCAAACCAAACTTTTTAGCCCAGCCTAAAATAGCTAAAAAAAACCAAAAAGTCAACCCACTTCCCAAACGGATGCTGTAGCATTTTTGATAGTATAAAAATACATTACTTTGGTTGTCTAACCTTTGTCTTTTTGTAACCATTTCCATCTCTCTCTTTTTATATGTACAAATATGGTGGCAAAAGCCGAGGGTTCGCCGCGGTACTACTACATTTATTCTTTCATTTTAGTTTGCCCTATAAATTCAAAATCCACCATAGATTAAAAATTGCATTAATAGTACATAAAAGATTTTATAATAATCAACAAGAAAAACTTTCTTGGCTAAAGACTTAAATGACTACAAGTTTATATGCAACATTCCTGGGTGATTAAAAATAAATGTGTTCTATTCATTCAACATTTAATTAACCACCACTAACAATAAAGTGCCTCTTTGGGCAAATTGGGAGGGAAAAAAAAGTGTGAATTCCAATTGATCAAAAATGTTAAAAGAAAAAGCATAGATTGCAGTCAGCTCACTCATTCCCAAAAAATTCTTCATCACTCTCTCCTTTTGTATTATTTTCCTTAGCCTCCAAGGCTTCTCTCCTTCATCTTCTCATCTTCCATCACATTCTGCAACATCATCAACATCTCAAAAAAAAAGCTTCTCTGTGTTCTTCAATGGCAGATACATACTCTTCTTACATTGAACCACATAGATTAGGCTCTTCACAACTAGTCTCTCCAAACCATGAAAACCCAAATAAGTTTCACACTCATTTCATGTACAAAGCTATCCTCACTGCAATTTTTCTAGTTATACTTCCTCTGTTGCCTCAACAACCTCCACAATTCATCGATCAAACTCTTCACACCAGAAGTTGGGAGCTTTTTCAGCTTCTCGTAGTCGGTATTGCCGTCTCTTACGGCCTTTTTAGTCGACGAAACGATGAAACAGAGAAAGAGCATAGCTCAAAATCTGATAATGTGAACTTATTTATGTCTAAATTTCTTCAGATTTCATCGGTTTTTGATGATGAGACAGATAGTCTATATGGGTACCATGACAACAAGGTTCAGACTTGGAATTCTCAGTACTATAGGGGTGAACCAGTTGTGGTGGTAGCTCAAGAAAGCTCTGTTCTTGAAGAACAGAGTGGGGATAGTGCTCGGTTTGGCGAAAAACCGTTGCTTTTGCCCATTCGGAGCTTGAAATCGAGAGTTTCAGACGCCGAGTTTGCTGAAGCAACCAATGAATCAAGTGGCAGGGCTGGTTCAAATTCGGGTTCAAAGCGTTTCTCGAACAATTCCAAAAAATCCAGAAATGTGGGATTCGGAGCTTCGAGTCCTTTGGATTTGGAGGAGAAATTAGAGGAAAATAAAATTCTCTGTTCTCCAATTCTATGGGGATCAAAATCGGAAAGGATGGAAATAAAACAAGAAATGGATCATGATGTTCCCTTGTTTTCTCTGCCTCCTTCAATGGAAGATTCTGAGTTCAGTCACCTCGGATCACACTCTTTTAGGCCTCAAATTTCTCAATCATCTACACCAAATTTCACATTTACTTCACCATCACTCTCTTCCCCGGAAAATCCATCTAATTTCCCGTCTTTCTCAACCGAATCACAAGCCAAGATTGTCGAAAAAGTGCCAAGGAAGAAGATACAATACAAGCATTCACCTCCGCCACTGCCACCAATTGTTTGTAAATCTCCTCTTGTAAAGCCAAATTTTAGTCCCTCAAATTCTGACAATTTTCCCGGGAAAGAATTGAAGAGAAAGATTTGGAGTGTGCCCAAGCACTTGAGTGGGTATGACACAGAACAACTGCTGAGTAGAGCATGTGAAACTGATCAAGACTCGGAGAGTGAAGATTATGTGTTTGAAGAAGAAGAAGACTCAGGCAATGAAGAAGTTGCTGTTGAGGATCGGGGGCACACCAGGGAACTCAAACAAGCAATAACACACAAGTTTTAACGTGGTTCGGCAAGTCGCCTACGTCCACGGGCAGCGGATTCACTATATTGAACAAAATGGTGAATTACAACACTCTCTGTAATTCTCTCTCTCTTTGCTCTAGGCAATGAAGAAGTTGCTTCTAACAGTGTTCGCGATGAGGGACCGGATGTGAACAAGAAGGCTGATGAGTTCATTGCCAAATTCAGAGAGCAGATTAGGATCCAAAGGACAGAGTCAATCAAGAGATCAACTGGGCTGATTGCTAGAAACTCTTCGAGGTTGTTAGCTTGATGTATATGGTTGGCTCACTTTTTAGGGCTCTAATTTCAAAAGTCCTGTATTCGAGTATTGTTCTTCCTATTATATTTATTATTGTACAATATATACCATTTTGTTTGTATGAAACTTATTTAAAATAATTTGATATTTTATTATCCATATAAATTTATGGGTAAACTACTAATAGATCTTAATAATTAGACTTAATTCCCATTAAATCGTATTGAAAATAAGTCTTGATAAAATCGTCGCTAAAAATAATTTTTTGTGACGATTTTTTATATATGTCGCTAAAAATTGACAATTAGTGATTTTTTTTTGTCATAATTTTTATAAATTGTCACTAAAACTTACAATTAGTGACTTTTTTTATAACAAATTTTTCTCATAGATCCTATTGAATAATAAATTCACTTATTAAGACTTACATGTAAGTACTTCTAAATTTATCGAGCCTTATAATAAATTATTTTAATTTTATTTTAAAATTTTAAAATATGTTCCAACTATGAGTTTGTTTAGAAAATGAGCCCAACTTGAACAACAACGCTACCATGATTTTTAACAGCTCAAAACTCTTTTGAGAAAATGAACAAGCTTACTTTTCCATATGGACAGTTCGATGGGCTAGGGCATGATTGGATCAGATTTGAGGAGTTTAATTTGCCTCCTCAAGCCCAGCCCAATTAAGATGGATTGGAGACCCACAACAAACTCAACTCAACTCAACTCAACTCAATAGCCATTTAAAAAAATATATCTATACTATATATTAAGCAAAATAGAGTTTTTAACCTCAAGCATTGTGGGAGTTCCAATCTTCTAATCTAAATTTTCTGATTTTTTGATTTAAAAAAAAGAAAAATCTTAGCATTTGTTAACTTCTCTCAACTTCCAAGTCTTACCCTCATAATAACACTTTAATGCATTAAGAACAAGCATAAAAAAAATTCTTTGAAATCCAACACATGAATTCCTTGAAAGGGACCGGATGTGAACAAGAAGGCTGATGAGTTCATTGCCAAATTCAGAGAGCAGATTAGGATCCAAAGGACAGAGTCAATCAAGAGATCAACTGGGCTGATTGCTAGAAACTCTTCGAGGTTGTTAGCTTGATGTATATGGTTGGCTCACTTTTTAGGGCTCTAATTTCAAAAGTCCTGTATTCGAGTATTGTTCTTCCTATTATATTTATTATTGTACAATATATACCATTTTGTTTGTATGAAACTTATTTAAAATAATTTGATATTTTATTATCCATATAAATTTATGGGTAAACTACTAAGAGATCTTAATAATTAGACTTAATTCCCATTAAATCGTATTGAAAATACGTCTTGATAAAATCGTCGCTAAAAATAATTTTTTGTGACGATTTTTTATATATGTCGCTAAAAATTGACAATTAGTGATTTTTTTTTGTCATAATTTTTATAAATTGTCACTAAAACTTACAATTAGTGACTTTTTTTATAACAAATTTTTCTCATAGATCCTATTGAATAATAAATTCACTTATTAAGACTTACATGTAAGTACTTCTAAATTTATCGAGCCTTATAATAAATTATTTTAATTTTATTTTAAAATTTTAAAATATGTTCCAACTATGAGTTTGTTTAGAAAATGAGCCCAACTTGAACAACAACGCTACCATGATTTTTAACAGCTCAAAACTCTTTTGAGAAAATGAACAAGCTTACTTTTCCATATGGACAGTTCGATGGGCTAGGGCATGATTGGATCAGATTTGAGGAGTTTAATTTGCCTCCTCAAGCCCAGCCCAATTAAGATGGATTGGAGACCCACAACAAACTCAACTCAACTCAATAGTCATTTAAAAAAATATATTTATACTATATATTAAGCAAACTAGGGTTTTTAACCCCACGCATTGTGGGAGTTCCAATCTCCCAATCTAAATTTTCTGATTTTTTGATTTAAAAAAAAAAAAATCTTAGCATTTGTTAACTTCTCTCAACTTCGAAGTCTTACCCTCATAATAACACTCTAATGCATTAAGAACAAGCATAAAAAAAATTCTTTGAAATCCAACACATATGAATTCTTTGAAAAGTCCAAACACATATGATTATTATTCCTCATAATAACACTTTAATGCATTAAAAACAAATATAAAAAAAAAATTCTTGAAAAGTCCAACACATATAATTATTATCAAAATATTAAACTTTAATATAATATAAAAAAGGGAAAAAAAAGACATTTAAAATAAATAAAAAAAACATTTAAAAATCACAATTCACATATATAGATAATTGTAAACACAATCCGTGCATAGCACGGGTGATATGCTAGTATCTATAATCACAAAACTCGTGTAAAAAGAAATGTAATGAATGTGAACATAGCCATGAGACTTTTTAAACACAAATTCTGTGTACATAAGAAAACTGATTGGATAGATCCCTTAAAATAAATTTCTAATCTCATCCCCGTATAAAACTACCTATTTTCTTAAGAAATCGAGTAAATGGACCAACAATAAAATGGTAAAATTAATTAGGTGACATAAATCCCATGAAAAATATTTTCATTGATATATCAACCCAGTTTGGTAGAACATCCAACAATATCAATACCATCAACTAGAAACCACCCAACAAGCTTTAATTTATACTAGTAGATCAAACATCATACAACCAAAATGTGCTTGCTTTGACCCTTTAACTCGCTTGGTCCTGGTTGTAACAGTGACATTATAGCTTCTGATTGAGTATAGCTAATATTTGTTGGGATTTTAAAGAATTGGAGAATTTCAATTGAATAAAAAAATATGGAAAGTAATTATAAATCGATGAACATGATTTGCATTTACTGTTTACGTTTATCATTTATCTCAAATTCTCTCTTTAAAGAAACTCTCATATAATGTAAACTATTTCAAAATTTTAGGGGCAGCCAGAGCCCCTACTGGCCTTCAAAATTATGGCATGTTAACAAAAATAAAGGGTATTAACTTATTAAATAAATAACAACCATGTTAAAAAAACGAATATAAGTTTCAAATCTAAAATTAATCCAAAAAAATTGAAACATTTGACAAATGACAGGGATTTATATATTAAAAATATATATATTTGAGACATTTAAAACATTACTCTTAAATGCATCTATAATTATGCGGATTAGTATGTCAATTATTGATTGGCTTAAAAGTCCTCCGCTAAAGACCCAACTTGCTATCACATTAAAGAAGAATTTAAATGTTAAATTGTAAAAGTTTCTTAACATTTCTCTTTAGAAAGTAGAGAAAGTTAGAGAATTGATTTTAGGTTCCTTGTTTGATTAACAAGTTGCGACAGTGTAAAATATTATGTCAAGGGTCTTCATAATTTAAACAAAAACATTATAATGATCATATTTATCTATAATACTTTATTCATATAAATTGTTCAGATTTAGGAATTATTTGAGATGATCTAAATAAGTATACTTTTTAACTTTTTATAAAAAAAAATATACAGAAAAATAAAGAGATAATGTGACCCAAATAAATGTACTTACATCTATCATGCTAAACAACCCCTTAATAAGTCTCACCAGTCACTAATTCAATATTAACACACAAAATAATAAATAAAATATAACAAATAACTATCATCATTATAACATTGACATAAAAAAAAAAAATGAAAAAGCAAAACTTTCAACAAAATTGAAGTCCTCATAGTGGGGAGTTGGGGGACAGTTTCCAGTAATGCTGTGGTCAACAAATGCCTCATAAGTCAATTAAAGAAGCAAAAGCAATCAAACCACCAAAAATCATGAACAATACACAATTAACAAACATAATTAGAGTGGGACAACATCACTTAATTTAATTTCTACCATCAAATCACAAAGAATTTACGCAAAATACAAAAGTAATCACCAACAATCCCACATAAAACCCGATTTGCGTCCCCACACAATCCGGCAACAAAACAATTATAAATTTCACAAGGATACAAAATTGAAGATTCCTTGGCAAAATCATAGTAGATATAATCATTAATTTAAAATTTATAACAACCGCCTTAATTAGTAGAATATAATTAAACCGAGCACTTTACAATACATCCAAACCAACCTCTTTAGACTAGACTCTCTTCTCAGACTACAACGATGTTTGATGTACAAAGAAAGAAAGAAAGAAAGAAAAAAGAAAAAAAACTACCATCCCAAGTATTTTTATTTTAATTTTTGTTTGTTTCTTCTGTCTTCTTAGAACAAACGGAAAATTAAAAAAGAAAAAGAAAAATTAGTACTAAGGACTAAAATTGACAATTTCTCTGTTTTAAAACAGAGAAATTTCTCTGCCATGAAGTAGATGGGTCAATGAAACAAAACATTTTGAGACCCACAAAATCACATTCCCAACAACAAAATATCTTAGACCCCTCATAGATACACACCCATCTAGAAAACCTATTGCTTCAATTCTTCCATTTCTTCATTCACATTCCACAAGGTATGGCAAAATTAGGATGAGAATATTGAATTGACAATTATGCCCACGGACCCGTGGGGTTATTACGATCGAGGGTGGAGAGCGTCGAACAACGGGCGGTGTGGGATGGGGTTGGTTGTGGTCGCAGTCGTGGTGACCCATGGATTGATGGGGACGGGGCGTTGGTGGGTGGAACCCATTTGGCGGGATCGGTGGTCGATGGGTGGTGATGGGGCAGAGGATGGTGGGACCGCGACACGCTCACATGAAGGGCACATGGTGAGGGTGGTGGGTGGGGTCATTTGCATGTAGAACTGTGGGGACAATTTTAATGCCCTCAGCTCCTGAACTTCCTTCTGTAGCCTCCGGTTCTCCTCCGTCAAGTTCTCACAACACCTCTTCAAGAACTCACAGTCAACCTCAGTCTGCTTCAACTTTGTCCTGTTACCAAACAACGGCATAACCATTTAATCCAGATGCAAATGGGTATTTTTGTACTTTCACTCTACTTAAAATACCGAAAACACCCTTAAAAAATAAACAAAATTCTAACCTAGCCCTCCTGTTCTGGAACCACACCTCCACCTGACGAGGTCTGAGCCCAAGCCGTTTAGCCAAAGCCAGCTTTTGCTTCTGCAAAACAAAGCCCAAAATTCTCAGTAAAATACCGAAATACCCCTGACCTCCATGGAAGACCAGTAGTACTGAGCTATGTACTTACCGGATTGAGAGTGTTGTGAACTTTAAAGCTTTCTTCGAGAATCATCGACTGGTCTTTGGAGAGACGAAGCTTCTTCCTAGAGGTATCACCGTCTTCTTCGTCGCTGATTCCTCGAGATGAAGCTCTCTCGAGATCGAGATCGAGATCGAGATCGTCTCCGTTGGGCTCCTCTCTCTCGCTTCTCTTCCCGCTGATACTCGAGATCGTGCTGTTCGGAGACGAAACTCCAGCTTCTTCCTCGCAATCGATCGTCGAAGGAACTCGATTCACGTCGATTCCTATCAGCAACGATCTCGTCTCGACTCTGCAAGTCTCCGAGCTTCGATCTGCATGTATAGATCCCCAAATCAGTGAAAAAAACGATCGATTTAAAATATATAAAAAAAAAAATGTTGAATTACTGTGAAGATAATAAAGCTATAGATCTGTTTAGAGAGGATCTAGAAAGTTGAAAAGTAGGCCATTATTGAAGCTTGAAGATGAAGCAAATCTGGAAAGTTGAGAGAATCGAAACAGAACAGAGATCGGAGAAAATACACGTACCGAAGGAAGGAAAATTATCGTTCCATGAAGTCATCTTCTGAGGATTGAAAGGTGCGGAGGGAAAAGTAGAAGAAGGCGGCATGAGATTCAACTGTAGTGAGCTTCGATTCTCAGGAAAGCTCAAGCTCAGACTCAAACCCAAGTCTTCTTTCTCAACAGTCATCTTCTTAATCGATTTGTTCTTGAAAATCCCACTTGAAACAGCACAGCACAGAGTGGTTAGGATAGCAGGGTTCAGGATTTTAGAGAGAGAAAGTGGAGTAGGAGTTTAGAGAGCGAAGGGAGAAGTGTTGGTTGATGAGTGGAGGGGGGTAACGAGGGGGGATTATATAGAAAGGAGAGAGAAGAGGACGAGTGGGGAAGAGAAGGTGGTGAAGTGTCCATCAATCATGACACTGGTGAGGAGAAGCAGGGTGTACCAATTATCTCAATCATGCTTTTGTCCCCCAAGTGATTTATCTCACTCATGCTTTGTTTTGTCATCTTTCCCCTCTCTCTCTCTTTAATATTATGTTTAGTTAGAAGATTTAAAAAAAAAAAATTAAAAAAAATTAAATAAAATTAGGTGAAATATAGATATATTTTATTCACATTTCGCCTATCTTTTTTATTTATTTTTTCAAATCCTTCCTCAAATCTCTCAACCAAACACAACATAATAATATAAAATAAATCTCACTCCCCATCCACCCTTTCTCTATCTGTTTTATTATCTCTCTTTCATCTCTTTAAAAGTCAAAATAAAGTGATATAGTTTGGTTTTTGATTTTTTTTCACTAAAAGATAAATTGATTACAAAATCAAAAAAAATAATTCAAACAAAATATCACATCAAATTCCATAATTATTTCATTTTTTATTTTACAAACATAACATCCAACTACAAAAAAACTCAATTATCTTTCTAAATACAAAAAAAATTTATTCAATAATATCTTACAATTAAAAAAATCTACAAAAAAAACTCACTTTCCAAACACGTACATATTAAGAAATGTATAAATAATATTTTAAAAAATGAAAGACAAAAAAACGTCAGAATAATTTAAATAAAATATAAATAACATTTTTTCATTCCATTTTACTTTTCAACAAAAAAAAATTTAAGAAATAATTTAGAATGCAGTTAAAAAAGTTATGTTTAGACTAAATAAATCAAAAATTCAAAAAAAAAATTATCATCAATTAAAAAATTCAAAATTAACTTAACTTTTTCACTTGTAAAATTTTTTAATAAATTTTAAGCACATTAGTTTTATTATTTTTAAACTAATTATAAAATATTAAAATAGCCAAATTCTAAGAATGGTCTATATCGAATTATTGATGTATTGCTATACCAACAAGCACATTTTATACAAAATTTTAAGCATTAATGTGACATTTGTTATATTATTACAGTAAAAATTGTTTCATATATTAGATTTTTATTACAAAATTTAATTAGTTTGTATAAAAAATTAAAGTAATGATATTAGCATTTACTTTAACCTTCTCACACCCTTTTATTTATTTTTTAACCTCTCACAAGAACAAAACAAACAAAAAAAAATTAAAAATGTGAGGTTAAAAGTGAAGAGTGCCAATAATATTATTATTTTCTTTCTATAATTCAAAATTGTAATTTTTTGGAATAATAACTAAAAATTACTCTCACATGTTGGATTTGAGTGACAAAAATATTCAATCGAATAAAATAAGAAACACAGGAAAATAACTAGGTGTATATATTTTCAATAAAGTTATACGCATTAAATGGTATGTTAATTAATATATTAATGAATGATGTGACATAATTTTAGAGATTTTGAATTTTTTTAATTTATATAATAGATATAATTCATAATTTTGAAGTAACAATATTATAATATATGTTAACTAGCATATCACCCGTGCTATGCACGGATTGTGTTTACAATTATTTATATATGTGAATTGTGATTTTTAAATATTTTTTTTAAATGTCTTTTTTTTTCAGGTCCCTAACCAAAATACCAACTCATTTTATCAATTTCTTGGACCAAAATACCCTACGTCTGTTGGATATTCTCCTTTGTCATGCTGGTACTGGTGTTGGGTATTTTCCGGCGAGTACGAAAACAAATTCAGCAAAACAAAAGTACTAAGTTTGGCAAATTTGATTTTCTGGGTAAACACACAGAGTGGAGTGGAGTTGATAGATGTATATATATATATATATGATACATACATATATATATATACAATCTGTTGCTTACTGTCTTGACTAGTATATATATCATAATTAATCAATTAAGACCATTTGCAACCATAATCAAACAGTCACTCTTAGTTATCTTATCTATGGTTGCAAACATATATATATATATATATGATACATACATATATATATATATACAATCTGTTGCTTACTGTCTTGACTAGTATATATATCATAATTAATCAATTAAGACCATTTGCAACCATAATCAAACAGTCACTCTTAGTTATCTTATCTATGGTTGCAAACATATATATATATATATATGATACATACATATATATATATATACAATCTGTTGCTTACTGTCTTGACTAGTATATATATCATAATTAATCAATTAAGACCATTTGCAACCATAATCAAACAGTCACTCTTAGTTATCTTATCTATGGTTGCAAACATATATATATATATATATGATACATACATATATATATATATACAATCTGTTGCTTACTGTCTTGACTAGTATATATATCATAATTAATCAATTAAGACCATTTGCAACCATAATCAAACAGTCACTCTTAGTTATCTTATCTATGGTTGCAAACATATATATATATATATATGATACATACATATATATATATATACAATCTGTTGCTTACTGTCTTGACTAGTATATATATCATAATTAATCAATTAAGACCATTTGCAACCATAATCAAACAGTCACTCTTAGTTATCTTATCTATGGTTGCAAACATATATATATATATATATGATACATACATATATATATATATACAATCTGTTGCTTACTGTCTTGACTAGTATATATATCATAATTAATCAATTAAGACCATTTGCAACCATAATCAAACAGTCACTCTTAGTTATCTTATCTATGGTTGCAAACATATATATATATATATATGATACATACATATATATATATATACAATCTGTTGCTTACTGTCTTGACTAGTATATATATCATAATTAATCAATTAAGACCATTTGCAACCATAATCAAACAGTCACTCTTAGTTATCTTATCTATGGTTGCAAACATATATATATATATATATGATACATACATATATATATATATACAATCTGTTGCTTACTGTCTTGACTAGTATATATATCATAATTAATCAATTAAGACCATTTGCAACCATAATCAAACAGTCACTCTTAGTTATCTTATCTATGGTTGCAAACATATATATATATATATATGATACATACATATATATATATATACAATCTGTTGCTTACTGTCTTGACTAGTATATATATCATAATTAATCAATTAAGACCATTTGCAACCATAATCAAACAGTCACTCTTAGTTATCTTATCTATGGTTGCAAACATATATATATATATATATGATACATACATATATATATATATACAATCTGTTGCTTACTGTCTTGACTAGTATATATATCATAATTAATCAATTAAGACCATTTGCAACCATAATCAAACAGTCACTCTTAGTTATCTTATCTATGGTTGCAAACATATATATATATATATATGATACATACATATATATATATATACAATCTGTTGCTTACTGTCTTGACTAGTATATATATCATAATTAATCAATTAAGACCATTTGCAACCATAATCAAACAGTCACTCTTAGTTATCTTATCTATGGTTGCAAACATATATATATATATATATGATACATACATATATATATATATACAATCTGTTGCTTACTGTCTTGACTAGTATATATATCATAATTAATCAATTAAGACCATTTGCAACCATAATCAAACAGTCACTCTTAGTTATCTTATCTATGGTTGCAAACATATATATATATATATATGATACATACATATATATATATATACAATCTGTTGCTTACTGTCTTGACTAGTATATATATCATAATTAATCAATTAAGACCATTTGCAACCATAATCAAACAGTCACTCTTAGTTATCTTATCTATGGTTGCAAACATATATATATATATATATGATACATACATATATATATATATACAATCTGTTGCTTACTGTCTTGACTAGTATATATATCATAATTAATCAATTAAGACCATTTGCAACCATAATCAAACAGTCACTCTTAGTTATCTTATCTATGGTTGCAAACATATATATATATATATATGATACATACATATATATATATATACAATCTGTTGCTTACTGTCTTGACTAGTATATATATCATAATTAATCAATTAAGACCATTTGCAACCATAATCAAACAGTCACTCTTAGTTATCTTATCTATGGTTGCAAACATATATATATATATATATGATACATACATATATATATATATACAATCTGTTGCTTACTGTCTTGACTAGTATATATATCATAATTAATCAATTAAGACCATTTGCAACCATAATCAAACAGTCACTCTTAGTTATCTTATCTATGGTTGCAAACATATATATATATATATATGATACATACATATATATATATATACAATCTGTTGCTTACTGTCTTGACTAGTATATATATCATAATTAATCAATTAAGACCATTTGCAACCATAATCAAACAGTCACTCTTAGTTATCTTATCTATGGTTGCAAACATATATATATATATATATGATACATACATATATATATATATACAATCTGTTGCTTACTGTCTTGACTAGTATATATATCATAATTAATCAATTAAGACCATTTGCGATTTCTAGTCTTTATGAATAAGAACGTTTCAAAATATTTTCAAAATTTCATCATTTTCTTTTAAATTTTTTTTTTCTATTTTGATTTTAAATTTGAATAAATGATATGAATTACTTTAACTTTTCCATTAAATTTTTATCAATTTTTTAAAGAACTTTCATTCTTATGCCTATTTTCATCAATTTTAATGGAAAAAATAATAATTTTCAACGTTTCATCTTTTTAAATTTTTGTCAAATTATAATTTGATAAAAACATATATTAAGGGTTGAAGATTCTTTTAATTGAAATTATAGTAAAATAACATTTTGAAATAGCCAAAGTTTGAATATGTAGTTGGTTGAAATGTATAATTCAATTAATTCTCTTCTCATATTTGTATAAAAATTGACACTTATGACTACATCAT